GCCTTTCCTCCATGTAAGACATAGTATTCTACACATAGTACTGCAAGGCTTCAAAAAATTCATGGAAAGGTTTCATAATTTTGAAATTTAATTTTCCATGAACCCTTTGAAGCCCCTTTATAAGGGCTTTAAAGAATGCAAACTTTCTGCCACCAAGGCCATGCACATTCATGGTCACCCTGCACGACAGTGTTGAACTGCCCCTGTGGTTTACCAAGGCTGTAACTGCGTATGGGAGTAGAAAGCCTCATTTTTCTTTTAGGGGCTGGCTGCTGGTTTCCAGCTACTGACATGAGGATCTGCAGACTAATGTATAACCCACACACCTAGGCCTCCTAATCATGCTTTAAACAAACAAACAACAAACAAGCAAGCAAAACAAAAAACACCACACTGCCAATACATCCATTCTGATTCACAGCAACCCTATAGACAGGATGCAATGGCCCCTGTGGGTTTCCAAGACTTTATGAAAGTAGAAAGCCTCCTCTTTCTCCCTCAGTGGCCAGTGGTTTTGAACTGACCTGTCAGGTAGCAGCCCAGTGCATAGCCACTATGCAACCAGGACTCTTTATGCATGCTTCATCATGCTTAAAACCCTGTCCTACCTAAATCAAATGAAACTCTGATAAGATTAAAGTGATACCTTTAAGTATTAATAAAATAGTGGTTTTTGTGTTCAAATCCAGCATTCCTGAAATTCCCTTCGAAATGCTGAAAGACTTTAGATATATTAGATATATTACTTAAGCAATCTGAGAAGGGATCACATATCTAGAATGTACATATAAAGTCTTCTTTTTTTAAGTGGTATTTTATAGATAGTATTTGTGGATAGGTATTTTGTTGCTTACTTTATCTACCTGGAATTTCAAAGAATAATCTTCTTGCTGCTATTGTTTGATATGTGTGTGTTTTGCTTTTTACCTTGTGAATTTTTACTTGAGTGGAGGAAATCAAATAAGACAAAGTAAAACTACATTTAGAATAACTATCCTATTGGTTACAAGATCCAAGAAAACTATGATGCTTATGTAATAGTAATTCAAGCAAGAATGTTTTGATTTCTATGTTTAAGAAACACTTTGGACTCTCAAATATAATCCAGTTTTGTTGAGGAATCATTATTTTTGTGTTTGTAGAATTCTGAAGCTTTCTAACCACATGCAATATTCAGAATAGTTTTCATATCTGCTCTGCTTACAGTCATCACAAGCAATGTTGAATTTTGGGGAGATTTGTTTTTCTGTTTATATTGACAGAGTGTCCAATGCAAGCCTGATGATACATGATATTTGGTGACTTAAACCAGCTATAGTGTAACCAACTTTAAAAAAATACAGCACTACTTTACTTTGAAGGGACATATGTGAAATGCTGTTCGGCATGTTTTAGCTATCAAAATATTTTTGATGGCAGTACACAGAAACCACAGAACTATGTGGTTCCTTAAGTGTGTTCATCTGTACCTCTTATTGAATTAGCATCACAAAGCATTTATCAGACATTACTCTTACATTTGACACCTACCTAGCTGCATAGAGCCACAATGATCAATGTATGGCCCCCCCTCCTAAGGGGATGAATAGCACATAAGTGGGTGAAATGAGACAGCGGTGAGTATAAGACAGTGGTCAATAAAAAAAAAAAAGAATACTTTATAAATTATCAAAGGGACATGGTGGAGTGGAGGTGGGGGTGGGGAATGAGGAGCTGATGCCAGGGGCTCAAGTAGAAAGAACATATTTTGAAAAAGAGGATAACATATGTACAGATGTGTTTGACACAATGGATATCTGTATGGATTGTGATAAGAGCTCTAAGAGCCCCTAATTTAAAAAAAGGTTCTGTTTTATTCCTCCTTCTCTAACCCTTCTGAATTTTGTCCCTGGGTAAATGCCACTCTAGATCTCAAGACTGCTGGATTATTCTTAGGTACCTCACTGGTGTGATTGTTTTCTTTATGCATCGATTGTTTGGTGAAAATGGACGCATAACAGTGAGTTTATTTTCACCCCTAAG